TATTTTGGAACTCATTTGAGTGCAGAATAAAAATGCAGTCACGTTCAATGATCAGGTATTGTACACCCTCAAACGAACAAAAAATAAAAAAAAAACTGCAAAGCCAAATATCTTGGATTTCATATATAACACACAGCTAGCCCACAAAAAGGGAAAAAGTGCCATCAAAATATAAAATCATACATGGAAGATTTGAGCTTTAAAAAGCGTATATAAATTCCATGTGAGAAATGATTCAAAAACTGAAAATGTTAAAGATCAAAAAAAGAATTTTCCATTATCAAAATATAATAAAAATTCCTTGACATAAAAATACAAATGCCATGATCCAAATATTAAAATTGCTATGCTTCTGCATTTTCTTTGTTATGATCTCAATAATCAAAATGCCATGATCCAACTAATAAATTTGACATGCTATTAATAATAAAAATTGAAGAAAATATGCCCTAGAGGCAATAATAAAGTTGTTATTTATATTTCCTTATATCATGATAAATGTTTATTATTCATGCTAGAATTGTATTAACCGGAAACTTAGTACATGTGTGAATACATAAACAAACATAGTGTCCCTAGTATGCCTCTACTTGACTAGCTCGTTAATCAAAAATGGTCAAGTTTCCTAGCCATAGACATGTGTTGTCATTTGATGAACGGGGTCACATCATTAGAGAATGATGTGATGGACAAGACCCGTCCGTTAGCTTAGAATAATGACCGTTTAGTTTTATTGCTATTGCTTTCTTCATGACTTATACATGTTCCTCTGACTATGAGATTATGCAACTCCCGAATACCGGAGGAACACCTTGTGTGTTATCAAACGTCACAACGTAACTGGGTGATTATAAAGATGGTCTACAGGTGTCTCCGAAGGTGTTTGTTGGGTTGGCATAGATCAAGATTAGGATTTGTCACTCCGTGTATCGGAGAGGTATCTCTGGGCCCTCTCGGTAATGCACATCACTATAAGCCTTGCAAGCAATGTGACTAATGAGTTAGTTGCGGGATGATTCATTACGGAACGAGTAAAGAGACTTGCCGGTAACGAGATTGAACTAGGTATGATGACACCGACGATCGAATCTCGGGCAAGTAATAGACCGATGACAAAGGGAACAATGTATGTTGTTATGCGGTTTGACCGATAAAGATCTTCGTAGAATATGTAGGAACCAATATGAGCATCCAGGTTCCACTATTGGTTATTGATCAGAGATGTGTCTCGGTCATGTCTACATAGTTCTCGAACCCGTAGGGTCCGCACGTTTAACGTTCGATGACAATTTGTATTATGAGTTATGTGATTTGATGAACCGAAGTTTGTTCGGAGTCCCAGATGAGATCACGGACATGACGAGGAGTCTCGAAGTGGTCAAGACATAAAAATTGATATATTGAAAGGTTGCATTTGGACATCGGAATGGTTCTGGGATGTTCGGGCATTTTTTCGGAGTACCGGGAAGTTACCGGAACCCCTCGCGGAGTTAATGGGCCTTCATGGGCCCTGGTGGAGAGAGGAGGCAGCGGCCAGATGGAGGCGCGCGCCCCCAAGCCCAAATCAAATTGGACTAGGGTTGCCCCCCCCCCTTTCCTTCTCCCCTCTTCTCCCTTCCCTCCTTCTCCTAGTCGGAATAGGAAAGGGGGGCCGAATCCTACTTGGACCGAGAGTCGAAGTAGGACTCCCCCCTTTGGCGCGCCCCCTCTAGGGTTGGCCTCCTCTTCCCCCCTCCTTTATATACATGGGAGGGGGGCACCCCAAAGGTACACAAAAGTTTCTCTTAGCCATGTGCGGTGCCCCCCTCCACAGTTACACACCTCAGTCATATCGTCGTAGTGCTTAGGCGAAGCCCTGCGCCGGTAACTTCATCATCATCGTTGCCACGCCGTCGTGCTGACGAAACTCTCCCTCGCCCTCAACTGGATCAAGAGCTCGAGGGACGTCATCGTGCTGAACGTGTGCTGAACACGGAGGTGCCGTACGCTTTGGGTCGTGAAGACGTTCGACTACATCAACCGCGTTACTAAACGCTTACGCTTTCGGTCTACGAGGGTATGTGGACACACTCTCCCCGCTCGTTGCTATGCTTCTCCTAGATAGATTTTGCGTGATCGTAGAATTTTTTTTGAATTACTACGTTCCCCAACAAAAATACCATGCTATTAAAAATAAATTTCCATGTACATATCAAATTTTACGATGAGAATGATTCAAAAACTGAAAATGCTATAGAGCAAAAAGGAATTGCCCATGATCAGAAGAGAATAAAAATCCATGGCATAAAAATAAAAATGCCATGATCCAAAGAAAAAAATTGCCATGCTACAATATTTTCTGCCTTGATCACAATGGTGAAAATGATATGATCCAAATAATATAACTACCCTATTAGTAGTAAAATGTCATGCTCTTCAGAACTTTCATGGTCTAAAGAAATAAAAATGTCATCATTTTAATAATAAAAAATAACATAGAATAAATAAATAAAAATGTGATGTTACCTACACTAAGACTACCATGGTCTGATTAAATAAAAATTCCATGGTCTAAAAAAAAAAATCTATGATCTAACTGAGAAAAATGCCATGGTCTAAAATAATAAAATGCCATCGTTTTAATAATAAAAATGCCATAGTCTAAAAAAACTTAGAATGCCATGCTACCTACACTAAACTACCATGGTCTAATTAATGAAAATGCCATGGTCTAACAAATAGAAGTGCCATGATAGCTTTGTCATGTGAACATATAGTTTTTTTTAGGAAATTTGGTTCTTTTCGAAAAATATGTCAAATTAAAAGAAACCATGGCAACTAGTTTGACATGGCAAAATGTGGAGGGGACAAATATTCTATGAAGAGTTTTGTAATGGGCATTATACAAGAAATTGCCCATGAGGCAAGACCCTATAATACACACATTAGCATATAGAGAAAAACACAAGTTTTGAGTCAACAAAAGCAAAAACAAAAAATCATACTTCAATGTGGAATATATGGCAAAGAAAAATTGCCAATGGCAAAATTTTGCCAGGGGACAAAACATTGTTGTCCTTGGTGCTTTCGCTGGGAATTCCGTCCGAGCGAACGTTCGCCAAGTAACATTTCCGTTTTTTAAAGGGAAAATAACTGATACTACTACTAGAAACAAACCAGTGGACTGTAAGCTGCGCTGCCTATCCTTCCACGGTTTCCACCTACCCACCGGTCAGCTCAGTCCACGGCACCGGAGCATGCTCTCCGTCGGCGGCCGCTTCCAGGGCGGAGCTCCCCCATGGCGACGGCCCCGGCCACGCTCGCGCCTGGCGTCTCCGCCGGCCTCCAGCAGCGGCGCCGGCGACTCCGAGTTCGACCCTCGATTTCACCG